GACCACACAAAGCGTCAGATGGAGGCTTCCGGTGCTAGCCCACCCCCAACCAACGCTACTGCTCAGCGCGCCCGTTCGTCTGGCATGACAAACGGCCACACAAGCCCCAACTACTCATAAGTCATGACGCGAATACGACAATTCTAGAGCTCCGCCTCCCATCATGAGTTCTACTTCTCACATTTTTGTCGTTCTGCCTTGGCTGTTGGGGTGTGACATCAATCGCGACGTCAATGGTGGCGAAGCTGCCCCCAGCCCCTTCTAAGCCAGGTCTCATCCTCACCATTCTCTCATGAAACAACACATTATCTACGGCGTCCTGGTGCCTAAAAAATTTCATCCTCATATGACGCAATGGGCTATTTCCAAAGTTCTTTTCTTTACAAGCAAACACGACATGCAAGGCGTTTATGGTCGCGGTTTTATGAGCTGCAAGAGTAGCAATGTAACATAGCGGGAACGGGGACACACAAACACTAGCGGAGGAAAGGGATATAGCTTAGAGCTATTTGCTGTGATTAGCGAAATGATATATGAACGAATTATCTGATCAAAACGTTTCCATTGATGGTGAACTGAATATAATGTGATCCAATGCTTGCGCCAAAATACACAATCATTATACAAATACTTATTTAACCTCTCTTTCACCATTCCCTCAAGACGATTTCTTTTTCAGTCCTAGGGCAGCTGCATGATCCTTCTTCTTTTTAACCGCCCTCTTGAAGGTTGGCGCTGGGGCTTGCGGCACAATAGGCGTTTCTTCTGGCTCAGCAACCTTCGCAGAGCTCTCCACCTGAGCTCGTGCTGCAGCGAATGCCGCCTTCGCAGCTTCTTCATCCTCCTTTTCCTGTTGTTTTCTCTCTTCGTCTTCTGTTCGTACGATAGTATCTACAAAATCCACACCTTCTTTCTCGGATCGGTTGATGCGAGCGTTTCTGTGTCGGATTTCGTCCAAGGCATCAGCGGCGGCCATCTCTCGTTGAGCATCCTGGTTCTTGGCTTCCAGCTCTTCCATCTTGTCCAGCTCTTCCTCGCCTGCGGCTTCTGCTTCCTCTCTTTCCAACCTGTCCAGGCGTTGTTCGACGCTTTCTTCCTCAGCCGCCCGATTCCTCCACGGCTCATTGTTCCTCACCGCTCCACTAACTACAACGTAGTCTTGGTTCTTTGGGTCGGTCTTAATAATGATCTCCGAGCTGCAGGAAGAACATCTGAAACTAAGTTTAACAATCTGTATTCCCAAGTACTTTTCGTCTGGAGGAGTCTCCTTGCGAGCGTTCTTCTTCAAACCGCGATTTGAGAAGGCGCCGCATCGTGTGCATCGCATGGTGAACTAGAGACGGGGGTTAGCTTTGGTCGCAATCTTGCAGGTATTTGGTAGGTCAAGACATACTGGACACATTATGCGAACCTGCTGAATGCGAGGTCCAGCGTTCTTGGGACCACGGCGACGTTGAAGAGCGCTCGGATCAAAGTCGGGAGGGTAGTATTTCTGTAGGACTTTGCGTTCCGACATCTTGGGCGAGTTCGGAGAGTAGGTAATTCAAGTAATGCTCAATTATATGTGGAAGCGCGCTTGTATTAGAGCAGCTGCTTGTGGCAGAGTTAGGTTCGTGTAGTGTGAATGATAAATCGTGAAGATTGAAGTTTTAGAGTTGAGCAGTCGCAAAGCATAAGGTAGCTGATAATAGCGGGGCGATTCGGCTGAATAATTCACAGCCAACCAATTAGCTCGTGTCGCGATTCAGAGGTCTCCAAAGGTAAGTAACTCATCTAAAGTCATCGTAAGCTGACCTAATTCTTGTCACTTGGGATCGTGGCCTTCGGTGTCTTGCCTCTCCAAACATATTAGAAGTATCTCAGCGAGCCAAGGTATTGGTATCATGGCTGGTTTTACGGATACCTTACTCAAGGTAGGTTGTAAGCATGGTGCACTGGTGTTAATAAGCTTGCTTTCATAATCCGGCTAGATAGAAAGAAAACTCAGGACCTTGATCCTAAGTGATAAAAAGACTAAGGTAACCTAGTATAAGTTCAGTATGAGGTTCCAGTAGGAAACCTTTTGCTGAATTTATTTTGACAACTTCATTAAGGTCTGATATTTTCTTGCTCTTCGACGGGAGATCTGGTACACGGAAGGCCCCACTTCTACGCGGCTCCACACTCTTATTAACATCCTATCCATCCACCAACTCTTTGCATGAGAATCTTCCTTCCTTGAACATCGTCGCCAAAATGCCAAAAGCCGAGGTCGGTTCAACAAAATACGTCGCAAACCGCATGAAGGCCAAGGGCCTACAGCGTTTGAGATGGTACTGTCAAGTTTGCGGTAAGTAAACGCTGCGCTTTCTCATCGTGGTTTCAACTCCTCTTAATCTCACCTTGAGCTCAACCTCATAACAAATACTAACTGTTTCATAGAAAAGCAATGCAGAGATTCCAACGGATTTAAACAGCACAGTGCGAGTACCCCATATCAAGCGGTGAGCAAGCTAATTACTAACTGTGAGTAGATGTCCGAATCTCACGTTCGGCAAATGTTGCTTGTTGGTGAAGACCCCAAGAAATACATAAAGTCGTACACGCAGCAGTTTCAGTCAGACTTTCTTCAGCTTCTCAGGACCGGTCACGGTGAAAAGTCGGTTCATATCAACCATTTTTATCAGGAGTACATACGAAACAAAGAGCACATACATATGAATGCCACCTCTTTTGCTAGTTTAACGGAATTCGCAAAACATCTTGGCCGCGAGGGAATCTGCCGTGTCGAAGAAAACGATAAGGGTATTCACATAGCGTGGATAGACCGGTCTCCAGAAGCCCTGAGACGACAGGAAGCATTAAGACGCAAAGAGGCACAGGATCAAGGCAACGAGGAGATAGAACAGCGAATGATTCGGGAGCAGATTAAGCGAGCACAAGCCACTGCCGGCAGTCGGGAAGAGGAGAAAGAAGAGGACAGCGAAGCTCGGGAACTAAAGCGACAAGAAGGCGAGAAGATCAAGCTCTCATTTGGAGCGAAGCAAGCTGCTTCCGAAACTAAGTCATCCGAAAGCCCCGCGCCTGACACAACGGCCCCTGAAGCAGAATCTTCGAAGACAGCAGACACAACTACGGACAAAGGCAAAGAGCCGGAAGCAGCGCCAGCAAAGGCCGGTGGATTTGGAGGTATTTCAATGAAGCTTGGCGGAAAGCCTCAAACCAAGAACGTTTTCGCCCAGGCCAAGAAGAACGCCCTCGCTTCAGGATCGAAGAAACCAGCCAAGATTGAACAGCCAAAGAAAATGAGTGAGGCTGAACGCATAATGAAGGAGGAGATGGAGAAGAAACGGTCAAGGGAGTCTGCTGGATTCAGCTTTGGTATGGGCTCTGGTAAGAAGCAGAGAAACAGCTGAGGATATTAGGGATTATTTTACAGCTTGGACTGGGTTACACGAATTATAGCAAATGGCAAGGGCCGAATTATGTTAAGCACAAGAATTGGACGGGGCGTTTTTGCTTTATTCTACCATCGATACCATAACAACACCTTTTAAATCATCATACGCGATTTTCATAATATTTACTGCTATGCCAGTCCCTCTAACACCAGTAGCGCCAGAAACAGTAGAAGAAATTATCCCAAGCCACTCAAAACATGGCACTCTATGCATCGTTCTCCGCCTCTGTGCCGTCACGTCTATAAACCCAGTCAGTCCAGTCCATGCTACCAGTGTCCAATTCGACTTACGGAATGTACTGTATTCTATACTCGTCTTCCAGCGTCGATCGAATTTCGTCGGGGAGTTGACCTGACACTTTGATGGCGTACATGCCAGGAACATAGTTGTCAAGGCGCTGGTACCGTGCGATCCATGATTTGGCCGGGTTTGCGAGGGTGATAACTCCCTCGAAGACTTGGGAGGTGCAGCTCTCAATCTGGTCTTGCGAGTGCTGAAGATGCAGAAACTCTTCGCAGTTCGGGCAGCCTTCGTCGCGGAAGCGCTAGGATCGCAATATGTTAGTCTCGGGCTCGTGCTTGTCTTTGTGACGGAGGGGACGTACGGCGTAGGTCATGACAACAGAACAGACCATGCATGCTCGTAGGTAGCGCGCTTGGCCGGTAGAGACGTAGTTGGAAGACGCCATGGTTCGCGTTTCGTGGTAGATGCTGTCGATAGTATTTTTTGTTTCGGCGATCGATCTGGGGTCGTGAAGAGTGGTTGTTGAAATGTTGAACAAGTTCGCGACAAAGGCGGCGATGAAGAGCAGTTATGTATTTAAGCGGTGTATGCAACAACTGCGATATCCACTTAAACTTCAATCTGTTATTGAAGGTAGATTAACTTGACCATCAACGAACCATCCTATTACTTCTATTCAAAATGACGCAAAATTCAAGCCAAAGCAGCCAAAAGTCAATATTTCAGCAGAAAGATCTCGAAAAGTCTCATGATCTTCTCACATGCACAATCAAGGAGCCACCATTCTCATATGTACACCTGCAGCTTGTCAGTCTCAGCGGCTCATCATCTGTCACACTTGACAATCTTTCGCTGAAAAGCTACTGCACAACTGCCCTCCGCCGATGTCTGGGAATGGTAGGAACCGCGATTTCTATGGATATTCTTAAAATCGACAACGACCATGCCTGGGTCCGTATTCCAAGACCAGACCTCGGCTCGTTTGCAACGGCAATCACAGCATGGCAAGGCACAACGGATGATGGCGAGCAAGTAAGCCTACAACTACGGCAATGCTCAGACTGGCTAGGCGCCATGGTTGGAGCGGACGGACAAGATCGACTATGGAATGCTTGAAGAGTGGCATTTTGTCATATTTAACATCATTCAACTGGAACCTCATTTTATCATCTCATCTATCCGAAGATGGGGGTATAAATGTATGCATGTACATCGCCCATCGGCCTACCCTGCAAATGCACCGTTTCCAGACGCCCGGGACCTGAATACATTGTGAAATCGCCGCCTGTTTCGCTTTCTAAAGGCTCTCCGTTTTTTCTACATCAGAGAAGACATGAGAGAGCTTTGCGCATATGCCTGGCAGTTGATCAGTATTGGGGGTTACGAGATTGGGCATCGAGAGCCACTTACCATAGGCTTGATGTCGGGATGAGGCACAGCATCAAATTGCTCGTATTGAAGTTTGTAGTCGGGGCCAATGTTGATGTAGGCACCCCTGTTTTCTGTTGAGTCACAGTATCGAGGGGCAGAGAAGACTAAGGGAGGGTCAGCAAAAGCTCAATAAAGATACCCAGAATAACTTACCGGTAATACAGCGGCCATCGTGCTGCACTTCATAACCGTCCATGCGAACCTCGTGACTCCGAATAACAGCCTCAAGGCCGTTCTTCTCACAGAACTTCTTGGTGATGTCGGGACCAAACTGCATACCGACACCACGCTTGCTGGGACCTCGGCCGTTCTCCTCCTGGGGGTCGGTCCAGAGCATCTCCATCATCAAACCGGCTTGGCCTGGTTGTCGCTGGTTGTGTCGGTTGAGTTTTCGAATATCGTCAAGAGTGACGCTGTCATCAGAGAAAAGGCCTCCGTGAAGGACAAGGTACTTCTTGCCAATGAGAGTGGCCAAAGCAAGAGCAGAGAAGCTCTCAGAGAACAGCTTGAAGACCCTTCATACTCAATCAGTACCGTCACATGGATATGTACATGGCTCGCAAAACTTACCGCTCGTTGTACTTGGCTTTGCACTCGCCCTCGAAACCGTACACACGGTTCATGTCATCCGTTTCGTGGTTGCCACGGTTCAAGAAGAACTGGTTGGGTCGTAACCACTTGTAAGCATAAAGGAGCAGAGCGATCTCAGTCGACCAAGAACCTCGGTCCACGAAATCACCGTTGAAAAGATACCAGTGCTTCTCGTCAGGGGTTCCGTTGCGGCGGAACAACTCCATAAGATCAAAGTATTGACCTAAAGTGGCGAATTAGCTTGGCAAAACATCTGACTGACAAGTGTTCTTACCGTGAGTGTCACCACAGACAGTGAGCTTCACGTCATTGGGAATCTCGACCTCGACCATGGTGGGCTCGTCGTATACGAGCTTCTTGACCTCGATGATGATTTGATAGACGTATTTTCGGTGGATCTTCTTGCCCGTCTTGAAACGTTCAATCATATCGTCGATGAACTCTTGTGTCATCTCGTCGCCTAATCGCACACCATCATATCCTGGCTCGACCACCATGGAGTCTAGATCAAGACCCTCAGCCGCTGAAGGCTCATCGCCGACCTCGATTGCCGCAAAGAAAGCTAGCTGACGGACGATCTTTTTGCACTCCTCCAGCTTGAGTCTGGCATCTTTGTTGCTGGGATCGAGGGACACACATGTCTTGAAGTCGTCAATGGCCTCCTTAGGTCGGAGGATCGCAGTCTTGGCCAGTCCTCTTCGGTAGTACGCCTAGCAAGGTCAACATTTCAAAGCCACTTCCTCCGGTTCGTTGTGGTACTGTGGCGAACCTTTACAAGTTTGGGGTTGAGCTCGATAGCCTTTGTAGCGTCGGCAATAGCGTAACCGTAGGCCTCGGTCTTGATGTATGCCTAGAGTACCAAGTCAGGAAAGGCTCTGGGAGTAAGATGGTGTGGTATATTGACGCACTTGGGCTCGGTTGGTGAAGAATGTAGGCTCCTTGTCGTTCAACTTAATAGCCTGGCTGTAAAAGTCTACAGCACTAGGATAATCTCCCGCTTGGAAGGCCTTGTTGCCCTTGTTCTTGAGTTCGACAGCCATTTTGCGAAGTCAGCGTTTGTTCGGCAAAGAAGTTGGCTGCACAGAAGGAGATCGAAGGGGGAGGGGGAGGGGTTCTGTCGATGGTTTGCGCCGAGCGCAGCTACAACCGCTGGAGTCAGTCGCAAAGAGAGAAGAAGTGGATTATGAAAGGAAGGATTCAAAACAAGCTTGTGGAATGCTAAGGAAGCGAGACAATCTGCCAAAACGGCTTGGTTCCACAATGCGAGGAAGGGGGAAGAAGTTTTGGACGTTGATGGAGGGCGGCTTTTCGGTGGAGTCTCTCCCCGCTGGCGGCGTCATGAAGACGAACCTAGAACACCTGGCGGGGCGGGCTTAACCGGCAGGGCTTCAGGGCTTTCAACCTTTGTGATAGGTTAGAACGCCCCTGTAAGCGTGTAAGCGATCGCAGCTGGGCGCAAATCAGCAATGCCTAGCGTGACCACGCGCCTAAAGTTGGGGAATCTTTATCAATCGCCACCAACACCGATGTGAGTGTGCGTGTGTTGCTGCATTGGAACCTAGCCTCGAGATGCGAATGCATAGATCGTCTCTTTCTTGTGCTGCTTTTCTACAGCCCAAATTTTCCTTCTTTCAATCACCAGACGGTTGTGCTACTCATAAAGCTTACCTAGAGTAATGCCGCTGACTTACTACCCAAGAAGTTAACCTGAGGGTTCAGGTTGTTCAAAGTTACCTTGAGTACGGAGGAAGAATGGCAATATGTACTTGGACTGTCTTGGCCGAATCGGAGATCGGTTAGTTGCATATCAAGATCTCGGCCCCACTGCTTCATTGTTGGAACCTCAGACAAAGTTATCACTATCAACAGACACAAACCAAACTCATCCAAAAGACATGACTCTGAACATCTGAAATGCACCTAGAGACATCTCACCACTAGAAAACACGATCCAGCACTGGTAGTGAACTTTCCACGGCTAGTGCGCGCCTTGCGCCCAGGGTTGGCCCGTCATGGACACATCAGGGTCAGGGACCTCAAGTGCGCTGGTACGCAAGCGGACAGACACAGACTTGATGCCCCCGCCTCCTCAAGTCAAAAAGATAAAGCGACCCAAGAAGGTACTTGACGAAGATACCTACACAGAAGCACTATCACAAATCATCGCCCGGGACTTCTTCCCAGGACTCCTTCAAACTGAGATACAGCAAGAATATCTGGATGCCCTTGAGTCAAAGGATTCTGCCTGGATCTCAAGTGCGGGCCGAAGACTTCAGCATGTTATGACACCCGGACGCCGAAATGCACCTCTCTCATCACAGCCGAATTCTTTCACTGCCGGTGACAGGACACCTTCGACATATGGCGGTGATACGCCAGCTTCAGTTACCTCTGATGTTCCGGACCCCCAACCAAGGCTAGGGGCCAACATGAGCCTAACAAAATTTCAAGCCACTTACACAAGTGAGGATAATGAAAGCTTTTATAAGCTAGTCGACAAACAGAATCAGAAAAAGGCGGACAAATATGCCTGGCTTTGGCGAGGTAACAAACTACCATCAAAGCAAATGATCAAACAGAAAGAGGTTGAAGATCGACTGAGCCAAACCCGAAGCCTCATAGATGACGGATTCAAGAAGGACCTGCTGGCCATCAAGGACAAAGATGACCGTCCAGCTCGCCCGGATTCCTGGAATGCCAACCCTCGAAACGGTTTGATGTTCAGACCTGACGGGTTAGAGGATGGTGTCCTCACCGTTTCTCAGAAGGCCGAAGAATCTTCAAGGATGGCTCCAAAGTCCATAGTCTACGAGAACACGAGAATGCCACAACCGCGTATCACACCGAGGCCACCATCTCCGACCATGTCAGCGGTGCGAGACGCCATTGCCGGCAAGCCTCGGAAAGATGACCGAGACTCTAGCATCGTTAGCGGAGGCGAGACACCAAGAGTTAATGGGTATGCATTTGTGGACGATGAGGATGATGAAGATGAGCCAATCCTCCCTGCTCCTATTATCAACCTAGGCCCGGGAGATGCAGCTCCAAACCCTTTCCGCCTGCAAGAGCAACGCGACAGAGAGAGTCTACATGAACGCATGGTGGAGAGGATATCTCAGTCGAAGAAGGAATCCTCAAGGAATGGACTTACAGGGAGAGTTGACAAGACGCCGGTTCCAAAGTTTCCGAGTAGTCCTCGGGTCAACGGTGGACTTACACCTGCAGCACAAAGGCTTTGGAGTAAGGTTGGCACCCCTGGACGAGGATCAAGTGGGAGCTCATTTGGAAATTCCAAACCCATGACTCCCAGAGGATCACTTTTGAGATCAGTGAGAAGACCTGGCTCAACATCTGGAAAGAAGTAATGGTTGAAATGAGATACCGCGGTGACAGGATTCGGGGCTTCTCTTGCTTTCTATGTCTCCCGACTGCATTCATGGACTGAAAATTGCTCCGATGTTCCATTGTTTTCACATGGCCAGTCACTATCCTCTTCGTTTTTTAATAGCATGGTGTTGTGTTGGCGATACGTACTTTTCACGGTACCTGCAGCGGCTCAGAAGAGAAACGCAACCATTCTGGATTATTTACATGATATACCAAATAGAATTAAAATTCAAACAGTCGTTTTCTAATGGCCGAATAATGTGCCTGGTTCACACAACTCCCAGATGAGGCCATTTACAAGGAACCCGCTTAGTTGCATGACCCATCGATTAGATCATGGACTTTTTTTCGTTGGTCCTTGGAACTACCAACCCACCAAATCGAGCTGGCAGCCAACGCCAGCAAGCCAGACAATATTAATCACATCCATTCAATGTGCTTCTGGTCCAAGGAGGCCGTCTAAGCCCGATGAGGTTCGTCGACTTCGCAATCGACCTTGCGGCAGTGCTCAATGCCTCTCGAGGTGTCGCCGCTAAGCATGTCGCGCTCCGAGGTCGCCAGATCGATACCTACAGTCGAACTTCGAGCGTTGCCGCGGTATTGAGGAAGCGAAATGCTCAAAGGAGCCCACCGACGGGGGAGAAAGCACAGAATGCTACGGCGGCGGGCGATGAGGTTGTATACGAGCAAACTGCGCCGGCAGCACGAGAGACGAAGCCTATAATCGAGACATCGAAACACAATGCCCCGCCTGAAGTGACGAGAATTGAAAGAGCACCCTTCAATAGCCCGATACCCAATTTCAGACCGAGCCCACAACAGCAAGCTACAACGGAACCGGCAAAAGAGGATGACCTTGATCTACCGCCTGGGATCGACGTTAATATCTTCCATACCGCGAGAGGCTCCAAGGTCCTCGATTCTCTACGAAAGCAAGGCCGGCCTGGAGCACCTCCTGCACGCCCCGGAGTTGGGGGTCCAGTGAAGCCACATCCCATGCGAGACTGGCCTCCGCGCCCACCACCCCTCGAAGAGAGCTATGAAGAGAAGCCAGCAAACCCTCAAGAGCCAGTGTTGAAGCCAGTGGAGCCCGTAGAGCCCGTAGAGCCAGCTGAGAAGGAGCCCCTGATTGAGAAGTTTGTGCCGAAGAAACAGTTGGAGGAGCAGCCCGTGGAGCAGAAACCGGCGGAGGAAAGCTCCGTGCCTGAACCAGAAAAGTCCACTCCGTCAGCCCCTACAGCAGACAGAAAGATCGACGAGGATGTCATTCAAGCTGCCAGAGAGATTGCTGGGAAGACAACAACTCCCTCAGAGACACCCTATGCCTTACGGGAATCCAAGGTCCCCTCATCTCGTATCAGTCGAATCTGGAACTATAGTGGTCTTGCAGCAGGTATGTTGGGAGGCGCCATGACCGAAGGCTTCAGTCGAGCCTTTGGCGGTGGTGGCGAGGGATCTGTCCTTCTGAGCGAGAAGAATATGGAGCGTCTGGTTGCAAAGCTCTCACGCATGCGTGGTGCTGCTTTGAAGCTTGGCCAGATGATGAGTTTTCAGGACACCAAGATGCTACCTGCCCCCATCCAGCAGGTGCTCCAGCGTGTCCAGGATCGCGCTGATTACATGCCTGCCTGGCAGCGTGATCGCGTATTAGTAGCAAACCTTGGTCCTGAGTGGAGAGACCTCTTCAGCGATTTCGAGGAGAAGCCTATCGCTGCTGCTTCTATCGGACAGGTTCACAAGGCCATGTTAAAGAATGGCAAGCGAGTCGCTGTCAAGATCCAATTCCCCGGTGTCGCTGACTCGATCAACTCGGACCTCGACAACCTGAGTATTCTCCTCACAGCTACCAAGCTACTCCCTAAGGGCCTATACCTCAACAAAACCATCGACAATGCGCGATTGGAGCTTGGTTGGGAATGTGACTATGAGCGAGAGCTTCAGTGCGCTCAACGCTACAAGGAGCTTCTCGGTTCAAGCGAGAAGGATGTTTTTATGGTGCCAAATGTTTATCCCGAGGCATCAGGCAAGCAAGTACTGACCATGGACTTCATGGATGGTATCGGCGTGACTCGCATCACCTCTTTCACCCAGGAGCAACGCGACTGGATCGGCACCCAGATTCTGCGTCTCTGTCTCCGTGAGATCACAGAGTTTCGATTTATGCAGACAGATCCAAACTGGACAAACTTTCTCTACAACGCGGATGTTAACAAGCTCGAGCTACTCGACTTTGGCGCGTCTCGCGAATATCCTGATGAGTTCGTCACACAATATGTGCAGCTTCTCGCTGCGGCCTCTCGATCCGACAAGGCCGCTGTCAAGGAGTTGTCAGAGAGCTTGGGCTACCTGACAGGCCATGAGAGTCGCACCATGGTTGAAGCACACACAAAGTCTGTTCTTACACTTGCAGAGCCTTTCCTTGCCAACGCACCCGATATTTATGACTTCAAAGACCAGACAATCACCGAGCGTGTCAAGGCTCTCATCCCTGTCATGCTCCACGAGCGACTGGCACCTCCACCAGAAGAGACATACAGTCTGCACCGAAAGCTCAGCGGTGCGTTCCTCTTGTGTGCAAAATTGGGTAGCAAGGTCCCTTGCAAGTCCATGTTTGAGGATGCGCTTGCCAAGGGGGGATATAGTAGGTGAGAGT